TGGGCCCTGACAAAATTTCCTTGCCTTCAGCTTCAGCCCCAGGTAGGACTACTTTCATTTTTCTCTGTGTAATAAGATAAATCACAGAAACTGAAGCACTGTGGTAAACACAGGGTGTTAACTAAGATAAAAGTAAAACTTCCAAAGTGAACACTGTAATAAACAAGAATGCTTATCTAATTAGATCCATTTTAGACTGCCCATGATTTGCATGTCCTGACAAAGTTTTTTCTCATCTTTGTTCCTTGCCATTGTGTTAAAATGGCACAGAGCTTGGGAGTATTTTTGTTATGTGTTTATTCCACTTGTAGCTATTCATGTTACTCGGCACCTTTTTTCTAAAAAGACTTTTTTCTTCTTTCCCAGTGCTGTATTTTTCTGATGTGGAAAATGTTGAGCATTTTCTCTCATGTCACGTCAAAGCTCAAATGAGCTTTAATAACTGTGGGATATCAGAAGACTGGCCGAAAGGGAAAAACGTGCTTCTGGATTATTGCTTTTTATATACAATATATAACATTTAAAAAGCTTTCTTATACTTTCTTTTACCTAACACAACTCTTTCTGTTATGGTCTTTATTAGAAATGTATTTTTGATTCAGTTTTTAGCCCAGGATATTTGAGATTAAGTTTAAATCTGTAATAGTGCTCACATACATTCAGATACATTGAGCATCTAACTTTAGTACCTTTCTATACAGAAGTTAGGTAACGGGAATACATAAATATAGATAATACAGAGATGGTTTCTAGACTCATAAATTAAGGTAATTACATTGTAGATGAAAGGAAGACTTCAGAATTCACTTGGAAACATACACACTCAAAATATATACCTAAAAGAGATGGGAAGTTTTCCCCTGACCTCCATGGGATAATAAATGATCTGTTTTCTTAAGTATATATCTAAAAACCTATCTTCATTAACATGCAAATGATTGTCTGTGATGGTGACTTAGGATTATAGATCTTCTTCAAGATCTATAGTAGTTTGCAAGTATCACTCAAGGCCTTATGATTCCTCTAAACTAATTGATATAGCCTTAAATTATTTATCCCTTTCTAATGTTTGTTTTTCTAGAAACTTTTCTCACCCAACTGGTATGGATCAGAGAGAGGTACCTTAGATGCCTAAAGACCACCTTTCAGTTTTGGAAAATGTTAAAGCTGAGTTTTTTCTGTTGCTTTCTTTTTTTCTTCTTCTTCCCTTCCCCCTCCCCACTCCCTTCCTTCTCTTCTCTTTTCTTTTCTTCCATTTTTTATTTTTTGAGATGGAGTTTCCTCTGTTGCCCAGGCTGGATCGCCCAGGCATGATCTTGGCTCACTGCCACCTCTGCCTCCCGGGTTCAAGCAATTCTCGTGCCTCAGCCTCCCGAGTAACTGGGATTACAGGCGTGCACCACCACACCTGGCTAGTTTTTTGTATTTTTGGTAGAGACAGGGTGTCACCTTGTTGGCCAGGCTGGCCTCAAACCCCTGACCTCAGGTGATCAGCCCGCCTCGGCCTCCCTAAGTGCTGGGATTATAAGTGTGAGCCACTTTGCCTGGCCTCTGCTGCTTTATTGATAATAATGTTCCATTTACTGAGTCCCTGCTATGTGCCAGGTGTGATACCACCTTCTTTGCTTAAGCCTTGTTTAATAGATGAGGAAATGTGGTTAATGTTACCTAAAGTCATACAGCTAAAATGTGGTGGACCTGCAATTTGAGTCTACTTGTTTCCAGCTAAGAAGCTCAGGCCTTTAGTAATGTCACAGTGCCTGATAAGCATGTAATCATAGGTATTTGTTCATCAGGTGACGCATAGTATTGCTTTCCCACTTTACTGTCTGGAAAGCAGCACGTATTTTCCACCAAAATGAAAGGCATTTACTCATTTTGCTATTTTTGGAAGATGTAGTCGTTACAGCCCAATTTGTCTTTTAACTTAAATAGTAGCAGGCATACTTGCTAATTATGGGATGTTCATCCATATTGATTTACTTTCTCCAAACAGGAACCACAGATTGGAGGAGAAGGAATGAGGGGAGCTGGTCTCTCATGTGAACAATTGAAACAACTGCAGCGATTTGATCCATCGGCTGTGCCATTACCGGACACTGACATGGACTCTCTCAGAGAGGCCAGAAGAGAAGACATGTTGCGTCTGGCTAATAAGGACTCTATAGGTTTTTTTGTTGCAAAATTTGTAAAATGCAAAAGCACATAGGAGAGGATGGATGCTCAGAAATGAAAATTCCAAACATTTGCTGTCTGTGGTTTTTTTTTTTTTTTTTATACCAAAGTGTTGTCAGGCCAACTGAATGATGACGTAGTTGCTAAGGAAACAGAAAGGGCTGCCAGCTGTTTTACCAGGGATCCAGAGACACAGAGGAAGTAGGGGGTGGTATGAGATTATATTTTCTGTTTTTAAAAGAATTTTTTGCTTTATGTATTTGGAGTATAAAGAAAAACAGATGCCTGTAGATGTCTGGAGCATATTTTCATTTGCGAGCTAATGTTTTAATTTGTGAAGAATACAAGTCATTTTTAATGTTAAAAATGAGTGAATCTAACAAAAGGAATAAATTAGCAGCATTTGATGTGGTTATGAAAAGTGGTTTTTGTTCCCAGGTTCCTAAATAGTAGTTTCTTAAGGATTCAGGGCATGGGAAATCAAACATTGACTATGTGCCAATAATGGAGGTAAGTATTTTACCTGACTCTCTGCTTATTAAGTAGGTCAACCCCCTTTCAAATGAAGTCTGGACTTCCTCTAAATGATAGTGTAAAGTGATAGTCTAAAGGCTATCACAGTCTAAATGATAGTCTATGTTTAATGTTTTTCATAATTTTAAACGAAAAAGTAAAATGAGTATTTTCTTCACTTTGTAGATTTAGAAAATGAGATTATTCCACAATTTGGGTAACTTATCATGTGTTCGAAACATGTAAGTTATTAGAAAATGGTTGGTGAGAGGAAAAAAAAAAAAAACCAGCTCTGGCAGCTGGGAAGTGGCCTGGCCTGACCCTTATAGCTGGGCCTTGGTGTTCTCCTGTTGAACATAAACAATTTCACATAACACCAGCATCAGACAAGGCAGCTGTACCTATCATAGATCCAGAAAAAAAAAGACCACAATCAAGTCTGAACTCAGACAAAAAGTAGATCATCCTTCAAACTGCAAAAATACCCAAGCATCCCACTGTAGTGGCCAAAATAAGTGACTGGTTTTCGATTTTACTTTTTAAAGACAAGGTCTTGCTCTGCCACCCAGACTGGAGTGCAGTGGCATGATTTCATAGCTCTCTGCAACCTCAAACTCCTGGGCTGAAGCAATCTTCCTGCCTCAGCCTCCCCCACAGTTGTGTGCTACCTTGCTTGGCTAATTTTTTTTTTTTTTTTTTTTTTTTTTTTTTTTTTTGAGAGAGATGGGAAATTGCTGTGTTACCAAAGCTGGTCTTGAACTCCTGGCCTGAAGCAGTCCCCCCGCCTTGGCCTTCTAAAGCACTGGGATTACAGATGTTAGCCATGCACCCAGCCAGCTTTTAAAAAAACATTACAGCCTTAGGATTTTCCTTTTCTATTGGCTTTTTAGACCAATCAGAATACTTAGTACCCAGCCATAGTTTTAAGGCTGTCTTGTGGTGTTTAAATCCATCATATGGTTTTGTTAGCTTTTATTCAAATCGCCCAAAAGTTATCAGGCCTTGGGCATAAGAAATGGACAATTGCTTAATAGTCTGATTTTTTTCCCCCCTCACAGGTTTTCTTTAGGAATTTCTCATAACTATTTATTGTATCCATAAGGATTGCAAGGTCTCTTGGATCAGGTAAGACCGATAGATGGCCTCTTCTTTAAAGAAGGCTTTCTCGAATACCCTTCCCTGAGGTTGGATAGGCACTGTTCCCCTTCTGTGTGCCCCTGGCACCCACATCTAATGTTCTCCTGGCTTATGACACTCTCATTCAAATTTTCTATCCATGCCCCTTAAGCCCCAGCTTCACACCTAGGAAACATCCTCCAGGCAGAGACCCTGTACTGCCTTTTCTCTCAGTCACAGCTTCAGAGCAGTCAATAGATGCTTATTGTTTAAGAGAAAAATTATTTCAAGCAAACCTGTGTCTTTTACATCCCTCATTCTGCCTTATATCCAGTAGATGTCATTTGACTAAAGAGAAACAATTTTCCTGTGCGACTTATCTTTTTAGGGCTCAGCATACCTCCTTAAACTTTAAATGTGTTTTAAGAAACTCTACAAAAATCATTTTCTGTAATGCTCACTGCACATCCTTATTTGCTAAGCTGGGATGAAAATGGCAGAAAATCAGCCTAGCAACAAACTTGTACTGGTGTAAATGTTTGATTAATACCAACAAATGTCAAAATACAACCAATGCCAGAAAATAAAAGAAAAATATTTACATATTGGAAACAGGACAGAGAATACTATTCGGAATTTTTCCTTGAACGTAGCTAATTTTCAGTGGGTTTCTTCCTTTCAAAAACTTAAGCAAATTGGAAAATCACGTAAACTTAAGGGACATAGCAATATAAGAAAAAAATGCAGGAAGAAAGTGAAAAAATCAGGGAAATGTGAGGGAAAATTAATATATATGTTAACATATTTAGTATTAACATTTCTATGAAACAGAAAAAGTACTTAAGTTCAACAGTGAGTACATTTACTTCAAAACCCTGTCATGTTTTAGTTTAAATAACGAATCTAAGTACAAATAGTTAAAAGTACAGCGTAGCAGAAATTAAACACTTGATCCAGAACCCATAACTGACCCAGATTATTCTACTAGAGCTCACACTGAAAAAAAAAATTTTTCTACATGGAGCTATCTTTTTTTTTTTTTTTTAATCAGACATAATAGGAAGATTACTAAAGGAACATAAAGTGTTTGGCATTGCCCCAAGAAAGATGCCCCACAGATGGGAGATGTTGAATATTTAATATAGTCTCAACTACATGAATCATTTCTAACATGGCAATTAATACTACTACTAATAAACAGTGCAGAAGCCAGCTCTTTATTTGTTTTATATGAATTACTTTAAACCAGGTTTGTTAGACAGTTCAGTGTAGCTGACAGTGAATGTTGAACAGGAATGCATAGCAGACCATGTTAAAAATGTGGCATTGTCCCGAAGTACAACATGACTAAGACATCCTACATTTAGCAGCACCTTTTTGTAACAGTAACTTAAATAAGCAATAGAGAAAGAGCATAGGAAAGACTGAAATGAGTATGACCAAAAAAAAAAAAAAACTATTAAATACATTTCCAGCATTTTCTAGGTTGACTACAAAAATCATGGTTCTACAGCTGAGTGGGTTAAGATTAAGCCTTTGTTGTGTGAAAAGACTATATACATTCCACAGGTCAGTAAATATCCCATTACCCTTGGGATTATTTCCTCATTTACAGATTTACTACACAGTTTACACATATGTCCACTATACAGTTTTTCACATATAGATGCTCTTATGTCAAATCCTTCAAGCTAGTTTTTTGAGGAATATTCTAATTTGCACTCATGTTCCACAGTAAAGTGCAAGCTAAGAATCTAGATACAAAATTAAAAAGATGGAAACTCTAACCACTACTTTTTGAAAGGGATTAATGATAGCAGCAAGTAAGATAAATACTAGCTGTGTTTCAAGAATTTAAATATTCCAAAATAATTAATTGGGATGAAATAGTAAAGGATTGAACCTAGTAATTGTGAATCTCTTACCATGACAAAAGTTTTATCAGAAATACTTTATAAAAGCAATTTTAACTAGAATATGGTTTCCTACTGGTAGGACAATGTAAGAATTGTCAAGTTTATTATGACTACTGTTTTTATACTCGGTAAAATAAATTCATGTAAACAGTATAAAGCTAATTAACAAATTGAGGGAAATTTTTCATATATAAGCTGATAAAACATTATATATGTAACTAATTTTTATTTTCGTTTTTTAGACATCAGGTTGTCACCAGGATAGAGTGCAGTGGTACAGCCACAGCTCACTGCAACCTCCACCTCCTGGGCTCAAGGGATCCTCCTGTCTCAGCCTCCCAAGTAGCTGGGTCTACAGGTACATTCCACCACCCCAGCTTAATCATTTTTTAATACTGAGTTTTCTTGGGGATAAGGGAAATAAGGTGTTAAATGTAAAACAGTTTTACTTATAAAAGTCTAAGAATATTTGGCAAGAACTTGGAATAATCAAGGAAGCAAAATAATTGATTTTATAATTATAGTTTTGCTGAATAGGTTTTTTTGTTTGTTTTTTGAGATAGAGTCTCACTCTGTCACCCAGGCTGGAGTACAGTGGCACGATCTTGGCTCACTGCAGCCTCCACCTCCTGGGTTCAAGCAATTCTCCTGCCTCAGCCTCCCGAGTAGCTGGGATTACAGGTGTGCACCACCATACCTGGCTAATTTTTTGTATTTTTGGTAGAGACGGGGTTTCGCCACATTGGCCAGGCTGGTCTTGAACTCCTGACCTCAAGTGATCCACCTGCCTCGGCTTCCCAAAGAGTTGCGATTACAGGCATGAGCTACCATGCCCGGCTGATTATTTTGTTATATAAGTGAATATGTAGATCTGAAGTTAGGCAGTTATACACAGGCATTTTATTGGGACAAACTTCAAGTACCAGGTACTTGCACTCTTAATACTGTCTTACCATCCAGTTATAACTGGACAAAATAAACACTTGAGACATGGAAAAGGTCTTAGCCTTAAACATGATGACACTGTAAGCTTCTTACAGCAGTGTAATTGAGGCATGGAGATAATGTCTTCAAGGTTCCCCTTCCGTGTAGATGTCTTATGTAGGATAATATTCTAAACATTTTATTCACTTCAAGTCACCCCATTTTGCCCTGATTACTTCTGAAAAACAGAAACTTTGGTTATAAGAAGCACTTCCGGGTTCTGACAGACAGTGAACCTGCTGGAGTCGGTGGTGGGGAGGAATGGTAGGTAACTGGGAGGTAAACAACAGGAACAATAGGCAAGGTTAGAAAATGAAGTGGGAGAAGTTATAAAAATTTATTTTCCCACGAAATAATTCCACAAGCTGTGTAAACATTTCTTACTAAAACAAATACTCTAACACACAAAGATTGTACATTTCCAGTGAAACACTCACAGTAAAATTGCCTGTAGTTTTACTCTCTAGGAGCAAAAACAAGGAGGCAGCAGATGAATGCTTTCCTAGTTACCTTTGGCAGCAAGCTTACTCACATTCCCTGACTGCTCAATGGGTTATTAAAGCAACAGATAGCACAATTAAATACAGAGCCAGGTGGGCAGAATGCTCCATATCAGTCTTTAGTTTCTTCACTAGTCTTCAGCATTCCAATTCATCTCAGCCATTCAGTCACTCGTGCACACTCTTACATACGGACACACACACGTGCATATAGCGAGTTCCGGCTCATAGACTCCAGTGCAGTGACTAGAACAGACACTAGCTACTAAGAATGTGTCACAATCAGTGTGAACTGTATGGAGTAGAACAACCTCTGGAGTTTTATATTGACCATAATTTATGGTGAAAATTACAAACTTACAAGGATGGTATAACATTCAGAATTCAAACCTTTTCAAGTCAAGCAATCACACATATTTACAGTATGTACAATCTTTCTACTAGAATGAGGATAAGTGTCTAGACAATGTTATTACAAATTTCCTGAATGTGGGCATTTCTAGTCCCTGTAATTCATAAAGCAAATCTGCTGACTTGGCATTAAGACTCTAAAATAGTGTGATCAAACATATATATATATATATATATAATATAATAAGAAGGTGTTTGCAGAAATAACATTTACAAACTGTCTATACAGTACACAGTACTAGTACATAGAAAATAGATTCTAACTTTATGATCCCCTTTGTGTAAGGCAAGACTGAATCTGTCCCCAAATTTAGTCAGCCAGAGGTACAAGCAAGAAACAGTGGTCCATGAATGAATATGCAAATCAGGTGCCTGCGTATTAAAAATCTGGAGAAATGAGAAATTCCACTTTTTATCTGTGCTGATTCTGGCTTGTTGGATACATCAACTACATTTCTTAAAACACCAACATCACCTGGGTGGCAACAGATTTTGTTCAAGTGGCAGCTACCTAAAACAGTTTTTGAAGAGTCCAGTATACAACCGGAGGACTGCAGCCATACCAGGCCAATTTATGTAGCACTTACAAAAGAAAAAGTATCTTAATACTCTATTCATACTATTGCTATTTAAGCAACAGCAATACAAAATATTACAAGACAGATCACATACGATTGCAGTGTAGACCCCAAAGGCTTGGTTTTGGGGATGCTGTTATAGAAGACTTCAAAAAAAAAAAAAAAAACCAACACAAAAGGGCAAAAGTCATTGGCGGATGTAAACATCCCTGTTCCACTCCCCAGCCTCATTCCGTTTTTTGGATATCACTTCTCCATCCTTTTCACAGTAGCGATCCTTGGATTTATGACGGCTGCGCTGTTTGTTGCACTCATTGTGGTCCTGCTCTCGATCCACGTCTCGGGAACGGTGCCGAGACTCCCGGTGTCTGTGGTCACTGCTCCCGTGGGTCTCGTCTCTGTGGTTGTGGTCACGGTGTGAGGCATAGTGGTCCACGTGGTCATGGGAATAATCTTCCTTTGGCTCTATGTAGGCAGAGTCTCGACTCTCCTGGGTTTCCGAGTCAAATGTCTCTTGCCTGGAGAGGCCGCGACTTGTCCCACCGCGATGGTTGTGGTGTGGGGCTGAGGAGGAAGAGCGGTGCTGGGATTTTTTGACTGGTTCCACACTAGGTTCTTCTTCAGCTTGGGAAGCAGAACGGATAGGAGCGGAGCGATCAGTCCTTTGATCACCTTGAGAACCCTGGCAGCAAAAGGAGCATACCAGGCATTAACCAAGGTCAGTGTGTAAAGAACATGTCCCAGAGCAAGCGCATTCAAGTGGAGTCCTTTTTAAGCATCCGAAATGAAATCTAACCTAGCTTCATCCCTTTGGTAACATCCAATGGCATTGATAAGGCTTGTAGTGTATTAAATTGGACTTTGTAAGTGCCTAGAACAGTGTGCATGGTAACCTTTTCCTTAAAAAAAAAAAAAAAAAGGCAGGGCAAGTGTTCTTTTATATATTCTCCTGCGGCTCAAATATAGATGCAGGTCCCTGAGATTTTTCTGTACAGGGGTGTAAACTTAACTATCTCTGCTTGACTGTCTGTGATAATATTAAAAATAGCAAATCCTTATATGATACAATGATACAATATGGGACAGGCACTGTTCTAGACCCTTTGTATATAACAACTCATTAATACAACAGCCCTATAAGATCATCTCATGAGATTACTAATTCCAGCAGCCTCATGGACAGGTTGCCATTATTATTCCTGAGGTAAGAACAGTTAAGAAATTTGCCCCAGGTTATCTGCCCCACAAGTGGTAAGAGGTGGAGCCAGGATTTGAATCCACGTGATCCACTTCCACAGTCTATACTACTGTTTAAAGCAGAAAGTTTCTACTGTAGAAATTTTCTGTAATCTGTGTGTGTTCCCGGTATATTCTGTCGATGGTGCTTTTCTTACAGGTACATGGCTCATGCTGGACTTGCTTTGAGTTAATATACTAGAACAAGCCCCAAGCACGCTACTGGGCTTGGATCCTGGAGATGTCACCATAGGCCACCTTTTTATCTATGAAGATTGTATAGATAGATATATATAAAAACTCCCCTTACCTGTGAATTAGAGGCTAGGGTGGGGCTAAGAGGCAGACTTGAAGTGGCTAATGTACGGCTAAGGAGAGGGTTGGGGAGGCTGCTGCTGGGAGGATGGGTGGCCTTCCAGTAGGCCTCCAGATAGTCGGCAAGGTGCTCACAGGCATCCTCAAGCTGGTTCTCATCCAAGATCACATCGAACAACTCCTGCAGAGGCAGACATTCCAGACCACATTGACGCAGCCCCTTCCCACCTCCATAAGAGGAGGAAGGGGCTCATGAGCTGCACCCCTTTGTACTTGCTCCCGCTTCTATAAGCACTGCTACTATCTCCTTTTTTATTTAGTTAGCAAGTGTCTGACTACCTCAAATCATTGTTTAGGGCACTGAATGCTTAACTAATAATGGCCAGAAAGGTAACAGTTGTTAAGGGCATGGCAGCACAGAAAAGTTGTCTATCAGCAATGAAAAAAGGCATGGATACTATGGTGCAAAAGAGTTGTATATATATTTGAACGGAATAGGATAGAAGCCTATTCTTGACATCAAGATCATGAAATCTTTTTTCTTTTTTTTTTTCTGAGACAAGAGCCTCACTCTGTTGCCCAGGTTGGAGTGCAGTGGCCTGATATTGGTTCAGTGCAACCCTGGCCTCCCAGGTTCAAGCGATTTTCCTGCCTCAGCCTCTCAAGTAGCTGGGGTTACAGGTGCCTACCACCAAGCCTGGCTAATTCTTGTATTTTTAGTAGAGATGGGGTTTTGCTGGTTTTGCCATGTTGGCCAGGCTGGTGTCGAACTCTTGGCCTCAGGTGATTTGCCTGCCTGGGCCTCGCAAAGTGCTGGTATTACAGGTATGAGCCACCATGCCCAGCCCAAGATTATGAAATCTGAATTTAGAAATTAATAAGGTAAGATTAGGATGTGAAATTTGGCAGAAGCAGCCGAAACCACTGATAATTTGACATTGTCCAAACTTCACAGTTCAGTAGAGAAGAAAAAAGTCACTTTTCAAAAGATTTTTTTAGTGTTTATTATAAATTTTAACATACATTAAGCAATCAAATATTCATAGTGCCTGAAATAGCTATGCTTGAAAAAAAAGCCTGGTGTAGTGGCTCATGCCTGTAATCCCAGCACTTTGGGAGGCTGAGGTGAATGGATCACTTGACGTCAGGAGTTTAAAACCAGTCTGGGCAACATGGCAAAGTCCCGTCTCTACTAAAAATACAAAAATTAGCAGGGCATGGTGGCGTGTGCCTGTAGTCCTAGATACTTGGAGGGCTGAGGTGGGAGGATCACTTGAGCCCGGGAGGCAGAGGTTGCAACCGAGAGGCCACCACTGCACTCCTGCCTGGGCAAATGAATAATATACCAACTCCAAATAGACTCATCATACAAGCCAAATTTTTGGACCCAGGATCTTGTGTTAGATATTAACAACGTGAAGTTACTGCAGGATGTACTGAAGCTTTTTGTAAGCTATAATCATCATTTGGATTACTTGTGCGCAAAACACATGATCATGGAAGGCGGGAGGACAGTTTACTTTGGAATGAATACCACTTTAAGTGATGAGGATTCTCTTCCCTGACAGGTGTTTGACGGTTTTTTTCAAAATATTAATGCCAGTTCTGGCCAGACATGGTGGCTCATGCCTGTAATCCTAGCACTTTGGAGGGCCAAGGCAGGAGGATCACTTCAGGCCAGGAGTTCTAGACCAGACTGGGCAACACAGGAAGATTTAGCAGGGGGAAGGACAAAGATCTCTATAGGGGGGGAAGAAAGTTAGCCGATCATGGAGGCATGCACCTATAGTCTCAGCTGCTTGGAAGGCTGACGCGAGAGGATCACTTGAGCCCAGGAGTTCAGGGCTGCAGTGAGCTAAGACCATACCACTGCACTCCCAACATGGGCAACAGAGCAAGACCTTGTCTCAAAAAAAAAAAAAAAAAAAAAACCCAACCAGGTCTGATCTCTGTAACTGGATTATGCTGTATATAGAGATAACTTACTGGAGGACACTGAGCCAGTTTATCAGCTGCTACCATCTGGACGTTGAGGTGTTTAGCTTGAGATTTCCCTCGAGATTTTATTAACCTTTGTAAAACCTGTAAAGGATAATGAGTTTTTAACAGAGTAATAACTACACCCAGGTAAAGAACAAGGTACATTATTGACTCCTTTCTCTGGGGCCTTTTTATATACAGCACAAGGGGCTTGTAATAGATGGAGCTATAAGATTATCTGCAAAATTAACATGTTAATGTAAATCACAGTTACAAGCTTTAAGCACTCACATTTTTTCTAAGCTAGCAGATCTCAAACATTTTGTCTCACAACCTCTTTAAAGAAGCTAAAATGGAAAACTATTAAAACATTTAAAAATTCACAATAAATCTGCTACATGTTAAAATAAAATATAAATCTCTCTAACAGCTGGCTTCATAGAAGACAATTGCAGTCTCCTGTTTGCTTCTACAGTCAGCCTGCTGCAGTGTCTTGTTTTGGTTGAAATATGTGAAGAAAATCCAACCTCTTACAGATTTATAATTGAGACAAGGAGAAACAATTTAGTATAGTCTTCTTTGATACTACACTAAAACTCAACAAATAGTAGTTCCTTAAAGACTAGTTGTTATGTGGAATCTGAAACCTGCAGTGAAGTTTTCTTACTCCATGACATTCCATTGGTCTATCTTGAAATTAACATTATTCATTGATCATACAAACAATAATGGTTCACTGCAGATCTTCCAAATGTTGACATATTTCATTATACAGTATTAAAACATCATATTCATTAATATTACCATTGATCTCATCAGAGAAATCTTTATTGGGAAGCTTCTAAGTCCTCAGAGGTGCATACAAGTTTTCTAAAATTCTGATTGTTGTCTGAAAGCTTGAGTTTTATCATTGGCAACACATGCTGTTCTCCTTGAAGTGACAGGCTTATTTTGTCCAAGAAAATATGTGCTACACCAAGTCTGAATAAGCATAGCCTGACAGTTGTTGTTGGAGATAAAAATGGTATTCCATGAAAAACATGGCTAGTTTAGTTCAAAACTCAATCACACCAGTGCTTGTCCTTCAGACACTTTTTGGTATGCAGCAGGAGCTTTGTGTGTACTTTATTACACTGAATATTAAAAGTCAAGATTTAATAGAAGTAATAAACTATACTACTTAATCAGGACAGTAAGTGAAATTGGCTTTTTTCCCCCCTTAAACTGGGAAAGCACAGTGGTGATGAATACATGAACTTCTGGTACTTTGATACCACAGTCTTGATTCATGCTTAGATGCCAGCAGTTTTACCCACCATTGCTTTTGCATCAGCCTTGCAAATGTCAAAACAGTGAAAATGTCAAATAGTGTCCTAGTATTATCATGGAAGTAGTTTTGACTAATTAAATGGACCCTCTAAAAGTGTCTCAAGACCCTCCAGGGATCCATGGACCACACTTTGAGAACAGCTGTTCTAAGCCATGAAACTAACCATGCCTTGTTTATATAAATTTAAAAATTGTTGACCATCATGTCTCTTCAAATTCTCTGTACATCATAAAGGCTATTACAATAGCCTAATTATAGAAAGCAGAACATAAAATACATTTTACTAAAATTTGATTATAGAGCAAACAGTAGCAATCCTACTTACCTTAGGAGAAGAAATCTTTACATATACTATAATAGGGGCCAAGGAGGTTTTACTGAGTTGAGCTGGATGATTAATCGTATCCGCATCAAGGACCACCAATTGCAATGTTCTTGCAAGTTCAAAAATCCTTTCAATTTCACTCTGAACTTCCGCTGTAAAGGGTGAAACAGTTCAGTTAAAGTGCAGTATTTTTAAGATAAAGTAAAATGGTATACTGTTTCTTCAACAGAAAGGTGAGTAGGTCAGCCATTATGTTAATGCTTATTGGCAAGAGAATTGATAAAAGTTTAAAACAGTAATTTATCTTCTTAGAAAGGGCTCTTTCTCCACACATCATTAGGATGTAAGGAATTTTTTTTCTCAACTGGCTGCAGAATTTACTTTTAGTATAATACTTGGATTGTGGAAATTTTTAGCTCTCTGCTGACATTCTTTGCGCTTCCACTCTATGAAATCATTTCATAAAACTGCTGTAAAATAAGAACCTTGAGCTATCTTCCATGTGTTCATTGCAGACCACATTGCATAGCAACCATGACAAGTTTTCCTTTCAGTGCATGGGCTGATCTATGTTTACATGTCATCTGTATGCCGTCTAGATATGTTTATTAATAAGATGAAATACAAAATCAAACAGGAAAGACATGAATGGCACCAGTAACAAACTTATCCAAAAACACACCTCATATTTTCCAATCAGAGGAATACCCCTTTAATAGTCACGCTTTAAAAGGGCAGTTTTCAGAGGCAGCACTACAGAAATCTAAAGTATAAAATTTGTAGAAACTTATCACAAAACATTTAAATATCTACTTGAACTCCAAGAAAATTACATTCAGTTCATCTACTGTTCCATGATCTCCAAAGAGTCAAAAACAGGACTGACAGAATTTTCTGCGATGAGGGAAATATCCTCTATATGTGATCCAGCGTGGCAACAGCTAATGGGCTACTGAGCATTTGAACTATAGCTAGTGTGAACAGGCAACTAAATTTTCAAAATTCAATAAATAGCCAGAAGCCACTATTGCTAGGCAGCATAGGTCTATAAAGCAGAGTACATAGCTTACAGTTACCACTGCAGTCATGCAGGTTGAATTCCATGAGACTTTTATGCCAGCAAATGTGGATTTACAATTACATTTTAATTCCTCTTAGGCAGTTCGATTCATGCCAGAAGCTTCCTGGAGATAATTTTAACTAGTGCATTATTGAAGAAAAGGTATCTCTCTGGTCACTAATCCATCTGCCTCACAGTATGTTATGACTTGAGTCCTTTTGTTTACCTAGATATCTTTAAAAAATCAGGGCCCAAACTACGTGAGATACTAGCTTTAAAATAACATTGGGCCACTGAACCCCAGTCAAGTTCCAACCTAAAATAATGTTTATTGTAAGAATTAAGAAATCTGATCACAAAGATTTTCATCTTTGTTTCATCTGTTAATAATAAGTGTTCAGATACTCACAGCATCCCATGTAACTCCTTGCTTTTAAAGGATTGAGCACTATTTTTATTAAGTTTAATATGTGTGTGGTTTTTTTTTTTTTTTTTTTTTTTTTTTTTTTTTTTTTTTGAGACAGTCTCGCTCTGTCTCCCAGGCTGAAGTGCAGTGGTGCAGTCTTGGCTCACCTCCGTCCGCCTCCCCAGTTTAAGTGATTCTCTCACCTCAGCCTCCCACATAGCTGGAATTACAGGCATGTGCCACCAGGACCAGCTAATGTTTTGTATTTTTAGTAGAGATAGGGTTTCACCATATTGGCCAGGCTGGTCTGAAACTCCTGACCTCAAGTGATCTCCCGCCTCAGCCTTCCAAAGTGCTGGGATCACAGGCATGAGCCACTGCGCCCGGCCCTAATATGTGCTCATTGTATAAAATCTGGATAACCTTAAAAAATATTACCTATACAGATATTATTTCTATTATGTCAATATACTAACATATGTTTTAATATATACACATATATAAAGATATTTCTGGTAGCCTTACATACATACTTTATACTCCTTTAATTAAAGGGAAAGATTTTTAAAAAGATTTTAAAGTGGACTTTCAGAATCCTGGTGGAACACCGTATTAGTAGATACAACCTTAAGGATGGATGACAAATTCTGATAATACTTTTGACTTCAAAGTAAAAATGATGCTTTTAAAAAGGAATATCCGTGCATGGAATTTTCCTTTGACAGAGTATATCATGCTCAGAATTTACTGTAATAAAGAAATGTCAGAAACTCCCCCAATGTTTGTTTCTGAAACTGAAAGTCAATTTGATTCTTTTGAGTTGGCCTAGTGTCAGGCCTCGGAGCCTAAGCTAAGCCATCATATCACCTGTGACCTGCATGTATACATCCAGATGGCCTGAAGCAACTGAAGATCCACAAAAGAAGTGAAAATAGCCTTAACTGATGACATTCCATCATTGTGATTTGTTTCTGCCCCACCCTAACTGATCAAGGTACTTTGTAATCTTCCCCACCCTTAAGAAGGTTCTTTGTCATTCTCCCCACCCTTGAGAATGTACTTTGTGAGATCCACCCCCTGCCCGCAAAACATTGCTCCTAACTCCACTGCCTATCCCAAAACCTATAAGAACTAATGATAATCCCACCGCCCTTTGCTGACTCTTTTCAGACTCGGCCGGCCTGCACCCAGGTGAAATAAACAGCCGTGTTGCTCACACAAAGCCTGTTTGGTGGTCTCTTCACACGGATGCACATGACCCTAGCTAATGAAAGAATGCAGCTCAGCGTCTTGAAGAGGGGGCAAGCTTTCCTCAACTCCCCACATCCCACACTTTCGTATACCCACCGAATTAAAACAAACTGAAAAATGAATAATACCTTTCCATGCTTTATATCTCTAATATCTATAAACAACACCCAGGAAGAATCAATGTTTCCTCTAAGATACAGAAGAGAAGCTACAACACTGATCATTAGAGAAATGCAAATCAAACCACAGTGAGATACCATCTCCCACCAGTTAGAATGGCTATTATTAAAAAGTCAAAAAATAACAGATGCTGTTGAGGTTGTGGAGAAAAAGGAACGCTTATACACTGTTGATGGGAGTGTAAATTAGTTAAACCATTGCGGAAGACAGTATGCCAACTCCTCAAAGATGTAAAGATAGGAATACCATTTGACCCAGCAATCCCACTACTGGGTATATACCCAAAGAAATATAAATCATTCTGTTACAAAGATACATGCACGTATATGTTCACTGCAGCACTATTCACAATAGCAAAGATATGGAATCAAACTAAAGGCCCATCAATGATAGAGTGGATAAAGAAAACATAGTACATATACACCATGGAATACTCTGCAGCCATAAAGAACAAGATCATGTCCTTTGAGGGACATGGATAGAGCTGAAGGCCATTATCCATAGCAAACTAACGCAGGAACAGAAAACCAAATACCACATGTTCTCACTTACAAGTGGGAGCTAAACGATGATGAAAACACATGGACACATAGAGGGTAACAGTACACACACTGGGGCCTATCAGGGTGGGAGGAGGAGAAGACTCAGGAAAAATAACTGATGAGTACAAGTCTTAAAACCTGGGTGCTATGAACTTTATTTAGAAGGAGGTTTCTGTAATCAAACAATACTGTAATAATAGATTGGAGATGGTTACTTTCATTGTGGCTAGTGTTGAGGGACACCTAAGTGGTCAGTTAGGAATTAAGACCTGGAGATAGCTCTAGTGTAAGTTATTTAATGCCATATGTGTTATTCCAATGCCATTTTCATAATTACTACACACAAAACTCTTAATTTTGACCAGTACCTGCCTCATCTTACAAAATATCTGTAAAGCCTTCTCTAACCACCTTTCTCCCCACACTAGTAAATTCTGCTTCTCTGTCCCCACTGCCACATATCAAAGTGACTTCGGGGGGCAGAATTGAAACATCATCGCTTCATAGAGCTATAAGGTCATTGGGTAACATATTGAACCTCTCAGAACCTAAGTATTCTTATCTGTATTATGGAAATGAGGACTAAACGAATCCATACGCAAAGCTTCCCTTACAATTATTACAGTACTTGGCCTACAGTAACTGCAGACAGTCCATGACTTACGATGGTCTGACTTAAAGATTTTTCAACTTTACAGAGTGTGAAAGCAATATACGTACAGTAGGAACCGAACTTTGAGTCCCTATACAACCATTCTGTTTCTCACTTTTAGTATTCAATACATCACATTAGATACTCTACACTTAATTATAAAATGGGTTTGGTGTTAGATGACTTTGCCCAACTGCATTTTTTTTTGCATTTTTGTACTTTTTGCATTTTTATTATAATAAAATTACAGCCTCCTCCTTGGCTCACTCTTTACTCCTTGATCTGCTGCTTTTAGAATTCTCAACCACTGACCAACCATCTATATATGTCTATATATACAAGATTTTGTCCATGTCTTCCTGTAAAACAAACACTCTGAGAAAGAATACTTTGTGTCCTTTACTTTTGTGTCCCCGGGCACCAAAATAATGCCTGGCACATGGTTGGTACTCAAGTATATGCTAAATGAATGAATCCCTCTGGTCTGTACATAGTCCCCTACCAACTTAAGAATAATGATATGGTTTGGCTGTGCCCACCCAAATCTCATCTTGAATTGGGGCTCCCATAATTCCCACGTGTCATAGAAGGGACCTGCTGGCAGGTAACTGAATCATGGGAGCAGGTCTTTCCCATGCAGTTCTCCTAATAGTGAATGAGTCTCATGAGATCTAATGGTTTAATAAAGTGAAGTTCCCCTGTACACGCTCTCTTTTGCCTGCTGTCATGTAAGACGTCACTTTGCTCCTTCTCCACCGTCTACCATGATTGTGAGGCCTCCTTAGCCATGTGGAATTGTGATTCTGTTAAACCTCCTTCCTGTATAAATTACCCAGTCTCGGGTACGTCTTTATTAGCAGTAATTCTTGTGAACATCAGATGAGGTGTGGAAAGAGTTTTAAGTGTGACAGATAAGGACATAAAAAAAGGAAATTGCTTTAAGCAAAACACATGATCACATTTTTTTTTTCCTGTGAACAGACTAATACAAATAAGCTCCAAACTTTTCACATCTTACCCCTGCCTATCTCTCTGGTGTCATCTCGCATCTCCCTCTTTTTAAAACCATATATTTTAGCTTAAATGAAGCACCTATGTTTTTCAGAAGCCTGTTGTGGCTTTCACTGTCTTGAATCACTGTCACCCGTCTGCACTCCTTTCCCTTTTTCTTGGCTAAATCCTGTCATCTTCAAGTCTCAGCTCAGGATCAGCTCCCTGGAAAAGCCTTTCCCTGTGCCTCCTGCAGCATCAGCTCTTTGGCAGCCAGTTCATGGCTGGACCACTTTGCTCATTACCCTCTATTCGATGGGCTCTTCACTGATTCGCCTTATGGCTACACCCAGCTCCTTGAGGGAAGGGGCTTCATCAGTTCATTTTTTTATTTGTGGGCTTTCGCGTGATATTTGGTATCTAGTGTATGCTCTATGAAATACATAGACTGGAAGATTCATTTAAAAACAATGTATAATCAGTAGTTGCAAAAAAATCTTGACAATCTAAGGAAATCTGTTAAGTAATTGATTCCACTAATGAGTCTAAAAAATTACCTGACTTGGTTAATTCAGTTTAATCTATGAAATGAGCATTTTATAATAATTCTTAGCTAGGTGCAGTGGCTCGTACCTGTAGTCCTGGCACTTTAGGAGGCCAAGGCAGGGGGACTGCCTGAGCCTGGGAATTTGAGACCAGCCTGGGCAACATAGTGAGACTCCATCTCTATAAAAAATTAGCCCGATGTAGTGGCATGTGCCTGTAGCCCCAGATACTCAGGAGGTTGAGGTGGGGGGTTTGATTGGGCCTATGAGGTCAAGGCGCAGTGAGCCCTGATCCACATTACTGTACTGCAGCCTGGGTAACAGAGTGAGACCCTCTCTCAAAAAAGCAAAATAAAAAGTAATTCTTGTGAGCATCAAATGATGTGTGGAAAGAGTTTTAAGTGTGACAGATGATAAGGACATAAAAAGGAATTGCTGTAAGCAAAACACATGATTACATTTTTTCCTCAAATATATTTCTAAACCTGTTACTGAAGTTTTGCCAATGAAGGGTTGTTAGGTGAGAAACAAAACTGAGTTCTATAATGTATCATGCTCATTGCTAACAGATAAAGCTTATTATTTATAACAGTTTTTCTATTATTTATATAATCATACTTCAGAGTAAATGAAGAACTTCTAGGTTAGAAACCAGCCTCTCAGAGGATTTGTATATCTAACCTATAAACAGAGAAAAATTAAGCTCAAAGATCTGACACAACTCTCAGAAAGTTTACTTTATAAAAACAGAAACCCAACAATTCAATAAGTAACTTGTGTAACAGTGATTAACCTAAAACTCCAAGCACATACCAAAAAGATTAAATAGCAGCAGAAGGGTTTCAATTTGATCAATTCAGTACATGTTAATAAGCAGTATCCACATACCACCCTGTAAACACAATAACTCCCTATACTGTTTTTACAAATAAAACATATCAATATCTATCAATAAATATAGCCAGGAATTGACTTCATCCTTTACCAGTTTCCAAACACACAAATTATACTCTCCGAGTATGATTTCATTATTGATATACATCAGGAATTAAGGAATATTTAGCATAATAATGGCTATCATTTACTGAGCACGTATCATGTTTAATCCTTGCAATAATTCCAGGAGGTAGTTATTTCTTTTTTTAAGATGAGGAAATGGAAACTTCAAAAGGTTAATAAACTTGCTCATGGTAACACTGATGCAAAGCCAGGAGATCTTAGAGTCTACAGACACGAAAGCTCACATTAGTGAAAACAAACCACAACCAAAACATTAACGCTGACAGCCTGTGGAATTCTTAACTTCGAACTATCATAACAAATCCTTCCACACCATGAAATCAGTAAGACCATAGCAACAGCTACTGGCAGCACACGCCTGTTTTTCCTATACTCTGTGACACATAGAATTATCATCTGGTTAGATCTTCTCATCATCAACATCAGGAGAGGAGAGTTTAAAAAGCGTAAGCTCATTGCACAGACTTACCTAAGCTTGACCTTGTGTTGGATCTTTCTATTATTGCGTGCTTACTGGGATTGTTTAATACTGAGCGTTTGGCAAGCGAGATGTCAGCGGTGACCCTTGTGATGGATATCCTGTTGGAGAAAAGAGTCACAGAAGACCCTAAGGTTATTGGTCTAATCAAAGGGCATAGAAGTATATGCCCCCAATTCATCTAAGTATGAAATATATATAGCGACTATATTTTCAAACCATATGTGTTAGGATACTTACTCATTTTTTTTTTCTTTTGACTTATTCATATCTGTTTATCTTACACCTGCCTTACTTTGTTTTTTGTTGGTTTGTTTTGAGACAGAGTCTTGCCCAGGCTGCAATGCAGTGGCATGTTCTTGGCTCACTGCAATCTCCACCTCCCAGGTCCAGGTGATTCTCCTGCCTCAGCCTCTGGAGTAGCTGGGATTACAGATGTGTGCCACCACACTTGGCTAATTTTTGTATTTTTCATAGAGAGGGGGTTTCACTATGTTGGCCAGCTGGTCTTGAATTCCTGGCCTCAAGTCATCCGCCTACCTCAGTCTTCCAACGTGCTGGGATTACAGGTGTTAGCCACCGCGCCTGGCCCTGTCCTGCACCTGCTTTACATTGCATTTATTGGTTGCTTACAAGTGTCAGATAAGTACTAAACACTTTATTTGAATTACTAAATCATCCAAAAAGCTCTAGGAGAAATGTTTATTATTATCCCACTATTGCTGATGAAGAATGAGAACCACAGAGAGATTATTTATCCAAGGGTATGTACTTACTAAGTGGGAGAACTGGGATTTGAACCCAGACTCCTGACCCTATATTCCTAGCCTCTGTGCCATAGTTCAGTGCTGTGCTAGGCATGAAGAATAAATAAGAACCGGTCTTCCCTCAGAGAGCTAATGGTCTAGTGGCAGAGATAAATAATAAAGGAAAATAATTAAAGATGATGATTGTTGTGGAAAGAACATACAGGGTATTATGAGAGACAATAATGAATTGGGAGTATCATTTTAGATAAGGTAGAAATGAGAGCAACAAAATTTGGGAGCTGGAAATAGCAAATGACTTAGACTGGAGAAAGCTGAATATTCAAGTCAGCAGTAGGAAAAAGCTGTGAAGCAAAATTAAAGGCTCACAATATTTCTAAAGAAGGTAGCGAATGAAGGTGAGGCGAAAAGGAAAGGTTTAGTTTAAAAGTCTGTTTCAGTTACAGCCCTCCACTGCCCCTTCACAATACTAAATAGCCAGGTGACAGTTCTTTTCCTGTGTGGTACAATACCCCAGATTTGTTACCTTGCAGGCAATACAAGAGGGCCTCTGACCAGGAGACCCTAGACAGAACAGGAGCAGAGAATACTGGATGGAAAAGAAAGGATTCTGAATGTTGAGTCTTCAGCCTTTTTCCTCATTGTACAATTTTGGTAGCCAGGCTTATATTTATATCCCCAGGAGTCAGAATGGAAGATTCTTCTCTGGGGAATCTGACTGCCAAAGAGTAAAGACCCAAAGATAATGATATTGGAGGTTTCCTATGTAAATTGTCTAGCAAGATTGCCATACACAGAAACACAAAGTTGATAAGCTCCATCTATGAGCACAGAACTTCTGTTTAATTATTTTATGCTTTATTTTAAAATTCGAGCGCAGGACTGTTTGTCAGGCATCTTCAGAAGACCTCTAACATGAGAGACCAAAACAAACAGAAAAATCAACTATGACAATTATTCATAGTTAAAAGCTAAGAGATGGTTTTATCTATGAAACTAGAACAAATTTATATTTAAAGACATAGAATAAAAGCTTTTGGAAATAACTTGATAATAGAAATAGAAAAAAATCAAAAGAAGGGTTAAAAGAAAAGTAACATCTCCAAAGGGTAAAACAAAAGAGTTGGAAGACAGGAGAAGAAAGATAAGAAAAGTAGAGATCACCCAAGAGGTTCAAATTCCAAATTACAGGAGTTCAGAAAAAGATAATAAAGAAGACAGAGGAAAGAAAATAAAGAATTAATTCCAGAATTAAGGGTCTGATTTTCCGAATTGAAAGGGTCCAGCACACGGGTTGAAGGATCCACACCAAGACGTATTTTTATAAATTTCATAATACTGGGGACAAAGAGAAACCCATAAGGTTTCAGAGGAAAAAGACAGGTCCCAAAGGGTCAAGCATTAGAATGCTTTGTACTTCTCAATGCAACAATGGAGGCCAGAAGATAATGGAGAAAAAAGGCTTCAACATTTGAAAGGAAAACTATTTCAATCAGAATACCATAAGCATTTAAACTAGCAATTAAACAGAAAGGTTTGTAAACATGCAGGCTATTGAAAAAAACATATATGTACTCTTCCTAGGGAAATTACTGGAGAAGGTTTTTGACTCAAATGACAATAAAGCTTGAAAGAAATCAAGGGATCTGGGAAAGAGGAGCTTCAACCCAAAAGAAAGGTGAAAGGAATCCCCAAGGACATAACACAGAATGTTCCAGAATGACACCCAGCACAGAGAGAAACAGTCTATACTGCAGCAGGCTAGAATGTCCCAGAGAGATTCAAATAGACAAACTGTAATTTTGGCTGGCTCCATATTTAATATTATTGTAATTATGTAAATAATAGTCAAATGAACTATGTCATATAATGTATATGTGTGTGTGTGTGTGTGTGTGTTTAGACAGCATCTCACTGTCACCCAGGCTGGAATGCAAGGGTGTGATCATAGCTCACTGCAGCCTCAACCTCCCAGGCTCAAGTGATCCCCCTGGCTCAGCCTCCCAAGTAGCTGGGACTACTGGGTGCATGCCACCATACCTAATTTTTTTTTTTTTTTTTTTTTTAGTAGAAACAGGGTCTCATTATGTTGCCCAGGCTGGTCTCAAAATTCTGAGCTCAAGCAGCCCTCCTCCCTTAGCCGCCTAAAGTGCTGGGATTACAGGTGTGAACCACTGCACCCAGCCTAATGTACTTTTTCTTGTGTGTTTTCCTCGTGGTTTCCATGAGATAAACAACTTTTTACATTTGCTTAATTTTTTTTTTTTTAAAGACAGAGTCTCGCTCTGTCACCCAGGCTAGAGTGCAGTGGCGCAACCTTGGCTCAGTGCAACCTCCGCCTCCTGGGTTCAGGTGATTCTCCTGCCTCAGCCTCCTGAGTAGCTGGGATTATAGGTGCCCACCACTGCACCCAGCTAATTTTTGTACTTTTAGTAGAGACAAGTTTCACCATGTTGGCCAGGCTGGTCTCAAACTCCTGGCCTCAAGTGATCTGCCTGCCTCAGCCTCCCAAAGTGCTGGGATTACAGGTGAGAGCCATTGCGCCCAGCCCTGGGATGATTGATTTCTAGTAAGAGTGTACTGCAGAAGATTCTGGCAATGGTATATTTATCCCTATAGCAATTCAGTATGTATTCCAAACACTTCAGGGCTGATTGCTGATGTTTTGAAAGTCACTGAAGAAAAAACAAAAAAAACAAAAAAAACTTGACTTTATCCCAAGTAGCTTTCCTTCTTGTTCTCAATTTCCTTGTTAATTTACCTGTCACCATCCTACAAGGTGAATCTGAAGATTGCTTTGTTTACATGACACAATTGGTTACTGTGAATCCAGTTTTAAATGGGCTACTTTATTACACACAACAGGAGGAGGATGATTTATTTCTTCTTTGATCTGACACACTGACACTACTTAACCAGAATGTGATTCTCACCAGCCCCCAGGGCTTCTGCAAATGAATATAAGTGGGTTTCAGAAAAGAAAAGGAATTCTTGACTACCTAGAACCTTTTGCATAACTAACATTTCCTTTCATATTTTCTCCTCTTGGGCTTAAACTTAAAAAAATAAAATAAAATAAATTTAGCTTATTTAATAGATGATTAAGGAATAATTCATTTTTCTCTTTTAGAATGTCATGTGTGCATACACACCTGATGCTTTTGATGAATTTTCATCCTCTACTGCTGTCTTGCCTTGCTAAAAGCAAAGACAGTCAATAATTCAGTTACTCTAGATGTCTTGCCATGGGTAAAAATGTTAAATTTGTACATGGCTTTTCAAGTCTGCCTTATGGACTTGTTTCTTCCTCTGAGGACTGTTAACTGGGGACAACAGGGCTAGAATATTGAACCCCAGCCTCTATAAGTCAAGATGAGCCAAGACAAGTCTATTAAACCATACGGAAATTACTTCTGGCTAGAAAAAAACAGATACTTTAAGGTATTTTGTTCATCTGTTTCTTAAATAAAACCAATCTAGGTGGTTGATACACTTGAACATGGGTCCAAAATCCACCCTCTCTGGCTGGAATGTGTCTTCCAAGTTCAAAACTTACTCAGGTTTAAGTACAAGTAGTAATCCAGGAAATTCCATCCCATTTCCCCATCTTTGGCATTTAGGAAAGGGCAGTGGGTTGACTCAGGCATGGAAAACACAATGCCTTTGTTAGCAGAATTTTTTTAGTGTTCAGGCTCATGTTGACAATTCCAAATTGTGATAAATGACAGAGCCAAGGATAAAGAAACAAAAGCTAAATGGAGCAGATTAGAGGTACGCCTTTTATACTTGGCCAGTGTCTAGTAGCCTTGGTCCAAGCTAAAGGTTCTATTTTCCTGGCACAAACTGAAAAAATATTTCCTAAAGATATGGAAAATTAAAAAATCTAATTAGGAATATTTGGTTATGAAGTCCTTGATTATAAAGCCTTTTCATACCTTGAAACTTATAATAGTTTTTGTTTTCCTCATTCTCTCCTTTCAGTTCTTTGCCTGATCACTTTTTTTGTTGTTGTTTTGTTTTGTTTTTGGTTTTTGAGACAGAGTCTCACTCCGTTGCCCAGGCTGGAGTGCAGTGGCATGATCTTGGCTCACTGCAACGTCCGCCTCCTGGGTTCAAGCAATTCTCCTGCCTCAGCCTCCCAAGTAGCTGGGACTACAGTCACCCACCAACGTGCCCAGCTAATTTTTGTATTTTTAGTAGAGACAGGGTTTCACCATGTTGGCCAAGCTGGTCTCGAACACCTGACCTCGTGATCCACCCACCTCCCAAAGTGCTGGGATTACAGGCGTGAGCCACCGTGCCCAGCCTGCTTGGTCACTTACTAACAATACTTGTCCTCCTACAAAAGTTTCCCTCCTGCCCTTGCCTCCCCTGCCAAAAATCAATATAAATTAGAAATGGTTGTAGTAGTAGGTGTGGTCTAGAAAGAAAGTACTATACTAAGAAATGTAAAAGAATCCTGAAACCAACAAATACTAGCTACTGCAGCGGTCCCCAACCATTTTGGCACCAAGGGCCAGTTTCATGAAAGAATTTTTCCATGGACCAGTTCAGTAGGAGTGGGGAGATGGTTTTGGGATGATTCAAGCACATTACATTTATTGTGTACTTTCTTTCTATTATTATGACATCAGAATAGATAATGAAATGATTCTACAACTCACCCTAATGTAGAATCAGTGGGAGCCTGAGCTTGTTTTCCTGCAACTAGATGGTCCCTTTTGAGGTTGATGGGAGACCGTGAAAGAACACCAGACATTAGACTCTGCTAAGGAGCGTGTAACCTAGATCCTTCGCATGCACAGTTCACAGTACAGTTTGTGCTCCTATGAGAATCTGATGCCGCTGATGATCTGACAAGAGGCTGAGCTCAGGCAGTAATGTGTGAGTGATGAGGAGTGGCTGTAAATACAGATGAAGCTTTGCTCACTCCCCTGCCACTCACCCCCTGCAGTGTGGCCCCTAACAGGCCATGGACCAGTACTGATCCGTGATCCAGGGGTTGGGGAGTCCTGATCTATTGTAGTTGCATTGTTAGGATGGGAGGACAAAAGGAATGTGGAGAAGAGAAGCACTGCATTTATCTGGTTAAAAATACAGAAATATACACTAGCCTGTATGTTCCAGGTCCCCTGTAATAAGCTACTCTTAAACTTTGAGGTTTCCATTTTGGACTCTAGTCACGTCTTTGATGCTTCAGGAGCTGGCTTAACATTCAATGATGGCACCCATCAATTATTTGATTCAAGACTGACTTTCAATAGACTTTAAGCTTCACAAAGCCAAGGCCCCTGTCTATTTTTGCTCCTCACAATGCCTGGCACACAGAATATACTCAATAAATATTTACTGAGGCAAGTTGAATAGTGACGGGGGAAGAGGAGGAGAGAGAAAGGATTAAGTCCAAGCCCATTGGCGTGACACACTAGATATAACCCTTGGGTTTGTTAACGGTCACATCTTGCCCAGGTCCTTAAGATCTGGGTGTGAGTTGCCTTACACATAATGCTGTGTCATACCTCAAAACCTTCACACACTATATACCATCTGCTGAACATACCCTTCTCTCCCCTGTAATCCATTCGGTCAAATCTTAGGCACCATTTAAAAACTCTTCCAGGTTGTGGATGTCCTTAAGTTGGTGTTAATTACACCTCCCTTTATGCTACCTGTACCTTATGCATGCATATACCAGGTTGCCCTTTTACTTATATTCAGTGTTACTGCTACAGGTTTCAATTTATGGTTTCCATGAGAGCTCTTCATAGGGAGAGACTGGCTTCACCATCTCTGCATTTCTCTAGCAGAGAGTACGCAGCAGACATTCATTCAAAATTCATCTGGCCACTGCTCATGTTGAGTACTGCTCCAGGCACTGAGAACACAACAGTTCACAAAACATTCTCAAACCCTGCCCTCATAGAGTTTATCGTCTAGTTATGGGAGAATGACAATAAACAAAAATAGTACTGGAAATACATAAAAGAGCACTAGAAAACAAAGTCAGGGAAAGGAGAGACACAGAATGAATGTGTGCATGTGTGCATACGTGTATGCACTTATACCAAGAAGAATATCTGAGGGAAAAGTGTTCCTGCAAAAGGAACCGCAAAGTGCCAAGGCCCTGAGGTGATTGTGTAATCTGTCTGGAACACTCATAGAACAGCAACGGAGTAAGTACGGCAGGGTGAGAATGAGCGAGGGAAGAGCAGCAAGAGAAAGTCTAGGTACGGTTGTGTGCAAGAATAGACCATAGGAGGTCAGATAGGCCACTGCAGGACTTTGGTTTCTACTCAGAAAAAAAGAAGTCATTGGATGGTTTTGAGTAAAGGAGTGGTGAGCACTAGCTCACATCTTAACAGGGTCATGCAGCAGCTGACCTGAGCACAGTCTTTAAGGCAACAACCACAGAAGCAAGGAGATGAGGCGGGAGGCTGTTGCAACGATCCAGGGAAGAGATGAAGATGTCTCAGACCAAAATGGTGGCAGAGGATGTGTGAGAAGGGCTTCGATTCTGAATATATTTTGAAGATACAGACAACACCATTTGCATGTGAAATATAGCAGAAAGAATAGTCAAGGATAATGATCTGGGCTGAAGGGTCTCGGGACTGAAAGATAAAGAAGCCATTAATTGAGATAGGGAAGACCATAGGAGGAGTAGGTTTTGGGGGAGGTTACGTTTGAAAAGTCCATTAGACATCTTAGTAGTGATAATGAATAGGCAATTGTATACATGGGTCTAGAATTTAGAGGAAAGACTGGCAAAGGAATGGAATTTAAAAATCTGATGCTGAATGAAATCACTAAAGGAATGTAGATAAAAGACATCAAAGAATTTAGCCCTGGGCTGTCCAAGATTTCCAGTTGATGAGGAAGTACCAGCAAAGCAGAGAAAGGAGTAGTCAGTGTGACAGAAGGAAAACCAGAAAAGCGTGGTTCCAGAAACCAAAGTATTTCAAAGAGGATGGAATAATCCACCATGTCAACCATTGTTCATGATCAAGTAAGATTCTGGCTGAAAATTTATCCCTGGATTTAGCAATGTGAAGGTCGTGGGTGATCTTGACTAGTTTAGCTGAGTGGTGTGGGTGAAAACATAACTGGGGTAGGCTGAAGAAAGTGGAAGGAAAGCCAGTACACTCAATTCTTTCAAGGAATCTTCCTGTAAAGAAAAAAAAAATGACACACCTAGAGCAATATGAGGTCGAATGTGAGAGGAAGTAACATTTTTATATGGTGATGGAGTTTCCATTAGAACAGGAAATACTGATGAGAAGAGAGCAAAGGATGATTATGGCTGTGTATGGATACTTCTAGCAGAGAGGGGATGGGGAATGAGATGCAGTACCCACATGGTGGGTTGGCCCTTGCTGGGAACATAGTCATTGGAGATAAAGCAGAGCACCCAGGCAAACATGCAACTCCACAGGCAGAGTTGTGGAAATGCCTGGATGTTCTCCTCCATTTGCCTTTATTTTCTCAATGACACAGGGAGGCAAGTTCACTGGGGGATCGTGAGATGAGAAGGGGTTAGCAGAGCTTTAAGGAGGGAGAGATGACACAGAAGTCTTTTAGAAGAGTGGAAAATTGAATGGAAAAGGGATATTTAGTGCAATCCCTGGGCAGCAATAGAGGGCCAGTTGACCATGAATTGAGGACGAGACCGGCCAGTGGTGTCCTGCCCAAGGTCTGCTTATGGATGCAGGTATAGGAACTAGACATCAAGGGTTAAGGATGTACAAAGCAAATATGATAAATATTGATGGAATCAGATTAAATTGAGTGAAACTTATTTCCTGTCATTGTATAGACATCAGAGGGCTGTTTTCTCTTGGAATCACATGCCTGTCCCACCAGGGTTTTGCCATCTTTAAGACAAAATCCACAAAACCCAGTATGCGGAAATACTCACCGCCCTTCAAATCTGTGTTTTAAAAAATCAAACAGCGCTTTTTGCATCATATCTGTGACCTGCAATTGAGCAAGGAATAAATTAAGATACAACAAAAAGAAATTACTAATGATGATGAAATAATTTTACTTCTCTTAGGAACACTTGAAAACCTGAGCTTTGCATTTGAAAAGAGTGGCAATATGAGGTTGCTGCATTTTCTGCTTCTGAGTTCTGATGCAATGACAATTAAACTGAACTTATCATGATATTTTAGGGACAAATAACACTGCAAGTGGTTTCAATCGGTCTCCATTTGACACTGTTTTCTGGACTGAGTACATTGCAGCTAGCAGAAATCTTCAAAGCAACAGCCAGGTAAACAAAACAGGAAAAGGACGAAGCAGTGTATTCCACAGCTTGCAGAACAACATGCTTTGCTGCTGTGAGCTCTCTGAGCTCTAAAGTTGGCTCCTTAAGCTGTAAAATTCAGAGAGAGGGTCAGGAGGAGGAGGCAGCGTCACAAAGAAGTTAAGCATGCAAAAGTCAAGCTTCTGTTGAAGGCTGCTACCCACCTCATAGCCTTTCAGAGAAGGGCCTACTAGGACCACTGGTCGCATGGAAGGTACCACATCATATGGAGGAGTGTGCTCTGTCTGCAGAGAGAGGAGAGGCTTTTAGACATTTCACAGGCAGGTGGAACATAAATATTTTATGTATAAGGTACTCTTTCTGAACTCTGTAATATGAGGCACTGGCTTTCCAGACATTTTTTTTCCCCCACTTGTCTCTTTTCTACATACACCCAATCAAAGATTGGTGGGTTCATTTTCCTAAAGTTTCAAGTTAATGTTGTCTACAGTTTTCTTGCTCATCTCAAGAAATGCTACAGACCTATTTGTTCCTAAAGCAAGAGATGCTGCTTTTGAACAAAAACTAGTTGATAGAACAAAGAGAAACATGCCTCATGCAAGATGGGTGCTTTAGGCTTGACTAGAAGTTAATATTGCTTTTTGGCTGCATTTGAATTTTCTAAAGAGTTGTAGTGATTAGACCTAATATGGTTAATTACAGAGGAAAGAAAGATTTCATTACCTCTGCATCTTACGTGTTTGTCTTACCTGTGTAAAACCTAATTTCAAAATACTGTAACTCTCACTACCAGTACTTTTTACCTAGTCTCAAAATATTGTAACTCTCACTACTGTCAAAATTCTATTTTATTGCAAGAGTGTAAATGAGCATGCATGCTTATTCTAGTAAACAGTAATCATGATCCCTGCTCACAGCTTAGAGATCAATGCTTTTGGATTTTTTGGTTTCTATACCTTGGTACTTCAAAGGTAAGGTTTATGTGTCTTCGAGGGTAGGTGATTAACGTATAATAATATATTCAACCATGCTATAGTGGTCTCAAAAGGTTCATTATCAATGTGCGTATCTAATATGATTCTCAAAAGTAGTTTTGAGATTCTCAAAAGTAGTGTTTCTGTTAGATAACAGATCATGTCTTTCTGCAGTAATTTCTTTTTAATAAGAGGGGAGAAGCTAAATTTTGTAGCAATTTCTAAAACTATCAACACTTTTCAGGTTAATTGCTTCAAATAAAATGGTTAAATAACATCTTTCAAAAATTAAGTAACAGCTAATTGGTTTATATTAAAATTAACTCTTTTGATAGCATAAAATATTAAATTGACCCAAAGATGACTTTTTTAAAAAGAATGCAGAAGAGCGATATGCCCTTAGACACAAGGATAAGCAAATCATTGCTATATGAATCTTCCTGGCTAAGGAGTGTCAAAAAATATAACTTGAGAATGACACACACCAACAGAAAAATGTTCTGTAAACGATTTTAAGAAATCAATACACTGATGTGCAGATATGAATGTCATTTTTCCATCTGCCCATCACTCAAGAACATTTTATTGTTGCTTAAAATTGCCCATTACAAACTTTTCTGGCTTCATTTGAATTCACATTGCCTCAGGGGGGAATTAAAAAGCATTTCAAATTCAAAAGCTTCCATCTGAGATTTCACCCGTAGTCATAGACGATATAATCAGAGGGGAGAAAAATATTACCATGACTATGCTGTCAAATTTCACTGCCTAAAATTTCATCTAGCATTCAGAATTCATTTTAATTGACATAATCAAGGTAGAATACAGTTTTGAACAGAAAAAAAAAAACAAGACGAACATAATATAGTGACAGCACACATATATCACACAAGCATCACTCTAAAAGCAACCTAAAACACAGAAAACAATCTTCTCATTGAATCTTAGGCCATTGTTTTGCTTTTGAATTCTACATTGATTTTAACCACATTATTAATAACATAAGAAGAATGAATACCAGTGCCGAAGGCATCATAAGCATATTTCTTACATTATTTCATGTCTACCACCTGGGATCATACTGAAAATGTTTAGAAGCCAAGTCCTTGTAACTATGCGGTGTAAGAACACCTTTTCCACCGTTGAGATTAGGAATGTAAATTTCCTGCATTTTAGTAACAGCTACCAAGAAATTTTATCTCAGGACTTTAATTCTGAAGTGGCCCAGTGTTTGTAGGTCTTTGGTTCCTTCGATCTATAACTTCCAACTAGCAAAGGATCACCCATGGCTGGTAATCAATCAGCTTCTTAATCAATAGGGTAGCGACAGAAATTACCTTATTTGATGGAATATTGGTGCGTTGTGCCCTCTGAAGAATGACACCATCATTTTTATCTACTCTTTCCTGTTAACCCTATTTAACTGACTTTTTTCTGGGGGGGAGGGGGAGACAGAGTTGTCTAGCTCTGTTGCCCAGGCTGGAGTGCAGTGGCACGATCTTGGCTCACTGTAATCTCTACCTTCCAGGTTCAAGCAATTCTTCTGCCTCATCCTCCCAAGTAGCTGGGATTACAGGTGCCCGCCACCATACCAGGCTAATTTTTTGTATTTTTAGCAGAGACGGGGTTTCACCGTGTTGGCCAGGCTGGTCTCAAACTCCTGACCCCAGGTGATTCACCTGCCTCAGTCACCCAAAGTGCTGAGATTACAGGTGTGAGCCATTGCGCCCTGCCTGCTCAAATTATTGAAAAAAATTGTGATAAACGTTTTTAAAGTTTTGGAATTTAAAGGTAAGCAAACTTCAAAAACCTATCTTGACAAATATGGTTTTAGTTCACATTCCTGCTCTGTCAAGTCCAGAATGTCTTAGCGATGCCAATTTTCTAAGCTTCTGAATGATGGACACTGTTAGTCACTTGGCTGCAAGCTTTAGCTATAACAAGAAGATCAGACCTGAGAGATGGGCCCACTGTTGTGGATGAACATCAAGCTGAGGCTTCTGTGTTAACGCAAATTTCCAAGTGTTGCAAATTTTGCCTGGAGTGCTGAAGTTTTCCCTTATTAAAGTAGTCATAGCTGATTCAAAAAAGCCAACTTTACAGTTCACTATCTGACACCTCATTAATGACTTGAGAGTTCCTCCACAAACCAAAATACTTATTTGCAGAGGAAAAGTGTTCATTATGTGGAGAGTTTGAGGGCAGAGGATAGACAGACTTGACATCACATCTGCGTGTGAGAATATATCCACGGGTTTGCCAGACTTGGCGACATTAGTATGACTCTAAAAGACAGCATGGTAGCTGTAGAAACTGATGAGTAAAAGAGGGAAATAAAAGGGAAATTTGGGGGGAGGGTAGTGGTCCTTAAAAAATAATGCTATAAAGCTACAAAATAGGTAAGAGGAAACAGGCTTTGTCTGAAGTAACGAGAGCTCAGAAATACCCTACAGTTTCCATGTAGGGGACAAGGAGCCTCACTGTGTAGCATCTTGGATGGCCAATGGCAAAGGCTCTACGCGTGACCACCGGCTGCACTGTCCAATGGGTGAGATGCTAAAATCTGACTGATGGAGAAGGCAAGAACATCGGGAGAATATTTATATATGACAATAGGAACAACTCACAGTAAACCGCCAAAACAAGCCTGCAGTTTTCCACTGGTCTTGTTCATCTGCAGATTTTGCACCTAGTGGATTAGAAGTTTAAATACTGACTAAATTAAAACTTGAATACTTTTGTTTAGTACAAGCTATGTATCTGGATATCATAAGTCAGAGTTTAATAACTGCTTTAATATGTTTGATCATAAGTTAAATTTCTGGATAAAAGGAAGAGACAGACAGACAGAATAAGCATGCACAGTTTAGGTGCATTATATGGAGCTGTCAGTGTTTGACATCCTTGAATGTTGAAACAAATTCCCTTGGTGGTAGATATTATTCCATCAAAAAGGATAAGTACTGTAATAGTGTTTTAACAGGTCACTCCCTGAATTTAGTTGGTTTGAAATGCATGAACTCAATTAGCTGTTGATAAGTTCTTTGCTTGGGACAGAAATGATTGTATTTAATACAACTGTGGGAATTAATGCTAATGATGCCAGTGGCAGGATAAACACAGCTTATGTCAATGTAAACTTACCGATTTCTGCTTCTGCTTAGCTACAGCAGCGTGGAAAAGAAACAAATAACAGAGCATGCACGTTATTGGCTTGTCAAAGGACGCAGACAGTCAACAGGACTAGAAATGTGACGCAGTGCATTGAGCAGGTGGACAATGGGAGCTTGGAAGTTAATGTTACCTTCTTAAAGAAGGGCATTCGTTTCTCTTTGGAGTGGGGTGACGTTACACTGTTTGCACTGGGTTTAGGGGAGCGGTGGTTTGCTGGAATATCATTTTCTTCTGCATCTAAGCCAGTAGCATCTATGTCTACAGCTATATACAGACAAACAGTTCAAAAATCAGGTGGACAGGAGAGGAAAAATAGGTTATAAAGAAAATAAAATGAAAGCAAATAAAACTAACCATAGTAAAAAAAAAAAACAAAAAAAAAACACTATCATGAATACTCAACACAGTACACAAAGAAAATAAAATTTAAAGGTAAAGCACGTTAAGAATGCAAGGTAATCAAATCTAATGAAACTGAAAGATACCCTTATAACCTGTTTGCTTGAATGAATCAGTTTCATGCTAGATCTCTTGAATATTTTCAGAGAAACATTTTAAATCTGTAGTTTCAAATATAATGTTGATATTCTCTGTATCAACTGTATAAAAGTGCAGTACAGAACATTTGACTTCAGATCTTACAATATCTTAAACCAGCTTTGAGATAACAAGTGACTAGTTTGAAAACCTTTATTATAGGTGAATGCAAAAGTAACTGTGGTTTTTGCATTGTTGGAATTTCCCATTTGATATTGGAATACATTCTTAAATAAATGTGGTTATGGTATACATAATTTTAATGGGCATTTCTCGTGTTATGCATTTTTTGCTAATGACTTATTACTTGCTGTTAATGTGTATTTTAGACTATGGAAATGATGTCAGACAAAAAGCGAATTTGAGTGACTTTCTTATTTTAGTTCAAAATGGGTCGTAAAGCAGTGGAGACAGCTTGCAATATCAACAATGCTTTTGGCCCAGGAGCTGCTAATGAACGTACAGTGCAGTGGTGGTTCAAGAAGCTTTGCAAAGGAGAAGAGAGCCTTGAAGATGAGGAGCAGAGTGGCTGACCATTGGAAGTTGACAACGACTACTCGAGAGCAATCATCAAAGCTGATTCTCTTACAACTGCACAAGAAGTTGCTGAAGAATTCAACATCGACCATTCTATGGTCATTCTGCATTTGAAGCAAATTAGAAAGGTGAAAAAACTCGATAAGTGGTGCCTCATGAGCTGAGCAAAAAAAAAAATTGTTGTTTGGAAGAGTCATCTTCTCTTATTTTATGCAACAACAATGAACCATTTCTCAATCAGATTGTGACAGGCGACGAAAATTGGATTTTATATGACAACCAGTGACAACCAGCTCAGCTGTTGGACTGAGAAGCTCCAAAGCACTTCCCAAAGCCAAACTTGCACCAGAAAAAAGAAAGGTCATGGTCACTGTTTGGTGGTGTGCTGCCAGTCTGATCCACTATAGCTTTCTGAATCCCAGCGAAAACATTACATCTGAGAAGTACGCTCAGCAGATGGATGAGATGCACCGAAAACTAGAACGCCTGTAGCCGGCATTGGTCAACAGAAAGGGCCCAATTCTTCTCCATGACAACTCCCAACTGCACGTTGCACAACCAGCATTTCAAAAGTTGAATGAATTGCGCTACGAAGTTTTGCCTCATCTGCCATATTCACCTGACCTCTCGCCAACCGACTGCCACTTCTTCAAGCATCTCAATAACTTTTTGCAGAGAAAATGCTTCCACAACCAGCAGGATGCAGAAAATGCTTTCGAGAGTTTACCGAATCCCAAAGCATGGATTTTTATGCTACAGGAATAAACAAACTTATTTCTCATTGGCAAAAATGTGTTGATTGTAATGGTTCCTATTTTGATTAATAAAGATGTGTTTGAGCCTAGTTATGATTCAAAATCCATGGTCCAAAACCGCAGTTACATTTGCACCAGCAATACAATGTGCAAAAAAAGATTTTTCTTTTTGCAGATTTTGTGTAAAATTAAGGACAGTGTGAAAAGTTTCACTAAAATTGCAACAGACATTTGAGAGAAAGAGAATGGAAAATTCTCAATCCAGTCAATGCAAAGGAGTCATACACAAGGCCAATGATTCAGGGAGGGCTCCAGGAAGGACAGGATTAAAACGATTTTAGGCTGATTAAGACTAATGGGAAAACACTGGGACCCAAGATATCTGAATGAAATCAGTCTAATAAAATGACACTGGAAGACTTCTGGTGACTTATGCAAAGCCACTGGGTTTAACAAGAGGCAGAGTGAAAGGGCACGAGGACCCAGGAGGATATGCCACTGGATTCCTCATCTGTAAAATGAAGGGTTTAGCTTTGTTGCTTGACATGCTTTTACTTTTCCCATTGTTCCACCTGAAAATACAGTACTTAAAAAGTGTTACAAGAAAAAAAGATGCATAGTCTCACTTCAAATTTTACAAAATGCTTCCAAGTGCAACCGTAATAGCTACAGAATTTTATCAACTGCAGAATCAGAGATGGAAATACTTTAAAGATCAACTTCAATGCTCTTATTTTTAAGATTAAAAAACTCAAAATTTAAGGGACTTGTTCTTGGCAAAAACTCGGCAGTCAGGATTCAGACCTACTTCTCCTGTGTGAGTCTATAACCCTCTGTATACCACACTGCCCACCAAAGTGAGCCTGTAACCGTCCCTATACCACACTGCCCATCCAGGCGAAGTCCCTTCTCAATCAGGGTGCCCTCTTTCAGTTCCCTTCACATCCTGAATGGGGTCATGTCCTTGGTGTCAGGAGTCAGGATGACATCGTAGAGCTGGGCTAGCTAGAAAATTATTCTATGATTAAGAATCAGTCAAGGAGAAGAAAAAAAATTTACTCACCCCAGCAAAGCATCACATTATACATGTTAGCTCTCTAACAAAAACCACGGTACATTTAGATTGAAGGAAGGAACAAATTACCACTTTGAAATAACAGACAGCTTGGTGTTACAATACAGCTACCATTCCCTGTGATACACAAGCTGAACTGCTCAAAACAGTTCTAACCTTTTCAAAGGATGGGAGATCATCTGACAGGCATCACATTATTTTTTGGTTTTGAAGTTGTTACGGATATTAAATACCAGCCGTTTGAAAACTAGGATCTCTTATTATTCCTTTTCATTTGATTAGGTAGGAAACCTGTGATGGAGTGAATACCTGCCACTGTTTGTACACTATTACAAATATCAGCTGTTGCTTGCATAATGCAGGAGGTATGATTTTCTATCAAAAGAAGGTAATAATGGACTGAATTAATTCCAAATAGGTAGACTTAACATAGTAAGTAGTATGTCTTCTTCTTTGCCCCATCTATGCATACCGATGTGCTAAAAGGTTTAGCATGTGGTATGTAGGGAAAACATAAAATGTGCCTAGGGGTTTAACCAATGCTGACTTGTATACCATCCTATAGCTAATCCTTTGCTCATATAGGAAAGTTTCCTTATGGGGCTTATGGAATGGCATAAGCCAGGAAAGAGTCTCAGAAAAGTCTTCAGGAATGGTTTTCCTTGAATCTCAACTCAAGCAGCATGTTGTTAGTGCTTTCCTGGATATGAAGGACAAGATCTGGGTCAGGATTTCATTATTCCTACAATACATGTTAACCAAAATCAAGAGTTTCCTTTCTGGTGGTAAATTCCCATATGTTTTATCTTTCTCATCTTTTATTGGGCTTATAAAGACCACATTCAAGGGACAGTACCCTTTGAGGGCTTTTCTAAAATTGAAGATAACCAATTAGATGTCAGAATTTACAGGACCCTGGGATGGTCACATTCATGAGTTGGACTTTGTGATTTGCCCATTGAATCTAGCCTTCTGTGATCATCAGGTGTATTTTTGTTTTTTAAAGAAAGGGTGAGGCTGGGCATGGTGGCTCATGCTTGTAATCCCAGCAGTTTGGGAGGCCAAGGTGGGCAGATCACCTGAGGTCGGGAGTTCGAGACCAGCCTGGCCAACATGGTAAAACCCTGTCTCTACTAACAATACAAAAATTAGCCAGGTGTGGTGGCCGGTGCCTGTAATCCCAGCTACTTTGGATGCTGAGGTGAGAGGAACACTTGAACCTGGGAGGTGGAGGTTGCAGTGAGCTGAGATTGTGCCACTGCACTCAAGCCTGGGTGACAGTGAGACTCCATCTCAAAAAAAATGAAGAAGGTGGAAATGCATAAATCTTTGGCTGCAACATTGCCCAGGTGTTTGGCTTTCCACACACATAGCCTGAGTCAGTTTTGAAATTTACCTGTATCTGGACATGAGGACTGGAAATCCAAATTGAGAACTTTCTATAATTTACTAGTTCTGACATTTGGTTAACTCAGGTCTAAAAACATCTTGAGTTCATTCTGAAATATGTAGAATTCTGAAACATGTGGTCACTTTCAAAACATACTATAGAAACTTATCAAGACAGTTAAGCATTTTCAAATCTGTTTGGCTACATGCATTGTATTAGACTCGAATGGTTCTCCTTTTTATGAGAGATGTTACCTTTTTTAAATTTCATACTTCTATTTCCATACTTTAACAAACATTAGTATTTACTTGGAAAGAACTGCTTTCATATATTTGAAAAGTCTCATTCCTCACTAGCATGCATATTATTATTATTAGTGATAGAAAGCCTTGGGAACATTCTATCTATCTATCTATCTATCTATCTATCTATCTATCTATCTATCT